TCATTGATAGAAACAGAGAAGTTGAGAATAAGACATTTTTAGGGGGAGAGGGAAGCAAGGAGTTTTACCTGAAATGAGTTTAATTTGTAATAAACACAGGTGATCAACTATGAGAGGCTATGTTTTTCTAAAGATGGCAGCAACAATATCTTCCATCCAACGTACTCCTCTAGAACCTTGTCACTTCCCTGTGTAGAGGTAGAGTCTGCTTTCCCTCCTCTCTGGCCCTTATAACTGATCCAACGTGGTGGAAGTAAAGGAGGTGACTTCCAATGCTAGAACATAAAGGTGATAGAGCTTCCTCCTTGTTGACTCAGTCTCTGTTGACGCAAGAGCTGCCATCTAGTAAATCTAAATGCCCTGAGGCTGCCATTCTGTGAAGAAGCCCAGACCACATGGAGAGACCCTTATCTTTGCCCCTGTCAACAGCCCCACCTGAAGTTCCAGCGTCAACAACCAGGCATGTGAGTGGAAAAAGCCACCAGGTGGTTCCAGCTCCCGCTGTCAGTCACGCCCAGGCGTCCAAGCCCAAGACATCATGAAGCACGGACAAGCGTCCTCACTACGCCTTGTGTGAATTTCTAATCCAAATCTATGAGCATAATGAAACGGTTGTTTCAAGCCACTATATTTTGGGATAATTTGTTACACAGCAATAGTGACTAGAAGAATGTCACCATTGTGGATCTTATTGTGTCCTTTTAAAAAGATATGCTGGCCTCCTAACCTCAGAATGTACCCCAGAATGTGACCTTATTGGAGTGAGGATCTTTAAGAGATAATCAAGCTAAAATGAGATCATTAGGGTAGGCTGTAATTCAGTATGACTGGTGTCCTTATAAAAAAGGGGAATTTGAACGCAGACACATGTAGAGGGAGAGCACCATGTACAGAGGAAGGCAGAGAATCAGGTGACACTTCTGCATGCCAAGGAAAGCCAAAGATGGCCAGCAAACTACAGAGGTTAAAACAGAGGCTGGAACGGTCTCCCTCCCAGCCCTCTGAAGGAATCGCCCCTGACCATGCTTTCATCTCTAGCTTCTATTCTCCAGAACTGTGAGTCAATAAATTTCAATTGGTAGTACTTTGTTACAGCAGCCCTAGCAAACTATAATAATGCAATCATCTAAAGGTCTGAAGAGACCATTTGAAATGAAGGAGACTAGAAGGGTTCAGAGCTACAGACCTGAGAGTCGTAGCGAGGAGATCCTTGAAATCATGGGGAAACGCCCATCACCAGCAACTGCCAAGAGGAAAAGTATGGACGAAGAAGGAAGGCTCTTGAGAGGAAAGGCGTAGCTGGTGGACAGATAAGTTACAGGTAGGACCAGGTTAGAAGCAGGAGCCAGTTTCAGAAGAGAGGGAGGAACATATTGATTGGCAATGTCAAGTTTACAGAGTTATCAAGGAGTTTGGGGCTGGGGAAAGACCGTTGAATTAATGACTGGAAGTGTCTACGGAGCAGGGAGAACAGAGGGTTGGAAAAGAATGAGTGATGAGGTAGGAAGGATGCAGAAAAGTGAAAGTGAATGACAAAGCAGGACAGATTTGTTAGTGGAGAGAGCAGTGCCACTCAGATTTGTACCCTAAATCAGAGAGGGGACTGATATGCCCTGAGCACTAAATATATGCCAGGCATGGAATCTGCCAGGTAAACAATCATCATCCCCACTGGACAGGTGAGTAAACAGGCTCAGTGAGGCTCAGTTAACTAGCCTAGTATCTGACTCCAAATCCCATAACATCATACAGCCTCCAGGGGCAGGGGCAGAACTGATTTGTTTGTTTTCCCTATTGTTTAGTCAAAGGAGGCCTCTGGAGTGGACTCATCACTTTTTCTTGAAAATGATGTCCCCACAATCTCTGCTGTCCTCACTTGCAGCGCTCTCCCCTCCGGCCAGGCTCCCATCTAATTTAGGGTGCTTAGAAGGTCCCTCAGTCAGTGGGAGTGGGCCTCCCTTGCCTGTCTCTGTCTGCTCCAACAAACCTGGGATGTCCTTGTGAAATGAACACACAAGGGATCCCTGCCACGTGGCAGTGTGCTAGTTCTACAGCAGTGGGTTAGGCAGAGTTCACGCCCTTTAAAGAACTCATAGTCCAAAAGAGGAGGAAGAGAAGTAAAGAGAAGGATGCTGCATAAAGCCATTAGGAGTACAATAGAGAAAAATTCAGGGCAAAATGGGAACCCCGAGAAGGGGCACCTCTAGCCTGGGAGGATCAAGAAAGCTTCCTGAAGATCATCGCTGAAGATCAACGAGAAGTAGTTTGCCAGTAGCGGGAGGGAGAGAGGGAGTGCCAGGCAGAAGAAACACCAAGTGCAAAAGCCTGGAGGAGTGGTACCTTCTAGAAACTGCTGGGCATTGTGCATACATGGAGTATATGGTTTGAAAGGAGAGAGGGGAGGGAGACAAGAGATGGGGCAGGAGAGGTAAGTAGAGGCCAGATCCTGAAAGTGGGAAGCCAAAAATTGGAGATGTTAGGAACAGTTTGCAATTTATAAGGATTATACTAGCTGTAGTGGACAATCAAGACAGAATGAGGGCAAGGAAACCAGTTAGGAGGCCAGTGCAGAGACCCAGGAAAGAACCAATGAAAGCCAAGCCATGGAGAAGGGAGGATGGGAACTGTAGGTGAGAGGCAAGAAAGAAACGACGTCTGCAGGACTTCGTGACCAAGAAGGGGCTAAGAAGTCCTGTCCCTGGTCTTCGTAGTTACATGGCCCCATATTTGTCCTTTCTTGTCTTAAGTCCTTTGTGTTACATTTTCTATCATTGCAATCAAGTTTTTGGCTCTCACATGGGCCTAAGTGTCCAGAGAGGCAAAAGGATCTTGGAGGTAATTACACTGTTGTCTCCATTTCTTCTTTCTCTCTCTTTTTTTTTTTATTAATAGACTTGATTTTTTAGACCAGTTTTAAGTTGATAAAAATACTTAGCACAAAGTCTAGTTCCCACAAACCTCTCTCCCCCTCCCCCTCCAATTTCCTGTTATTATAACTTCTTGCATTAGTGTGCGGTACACTTGTTCCAATTGATGTGCCCATAGTGATACCTTATTATTAACTGAAGTCCATCGTTTACATTAGGGTCCATTCTTTGTGTTGTACATTCTATGGGTTTTGACAAATGTATAATGAATGTATCTACCATTACAGTATCATACAGGGTTAATAGTTTCATTACCTAAAAATCCTCTGTGCATCAACTATTTGTCCCTCCTCTCTCACCCCAACCCCTGGCAACCACTGATCTTTTTATTGCCTTCGTAGTTTTGCCTTTTCCAGAATGTCATGTAGTTGGAATTACACGGTATGTATATACCCTTTCCAGATTGGTTTCTTTCACTTACATTGACGTTTCCACCATATCTTTTTGTGACTTGATAGTTCATTTCTTTTTATCGTTGAATAATATTTCTTTTCATTGTTGAATTAAGATTCCATTGTATGGATGTACCACAATTTGTTTATCCATTCACCAACTGAAGACTATCTTGGTTGCGTCTGAGTCTGGGCAATTATGAATAAAGCCACTATAAACATTCGTGTGTAGGTTTTTGTGTGGATACATGTTCTCAGCTCATTTGGATAAATACCAAGAAGCATGGTTGCCGGGTGGGATGGTAAGTGTCTCCATCCCTTTTTCATGTCCGTTGCCTCTGGTGGGCAGGCTGGAGGGTGACAACCTGACCTGGAAAAATGCCTGAGAATTGTAGGTCTTGGGTTTGTGCAGAAACAGAAATGATCTTCCCTGGGGAGCTAAGTGTATTCTCTGAGGACAGGGGTCTTTACCAGGTCCCCCATATACCCTGGCATTATATATAGGAAAGAGGTGGCCATCATCAGAGTTTTAAGGGTCTAGGAAGCAAAAGAAATTAAGCCACAGGTTTTACCTGCAGCTGAAAGGATCCTCGGTGATGGGACAGGGGACGGCAGCCAGTAGATGACCTCAGCACTGAGAACACCCAAAGTGAAAACCAACCGTCTAGTTAACTTGACTTCAGGGACTCCTGGGCTGGACGTGGCCCCTACAGAGAACACGCTTCTGTCTCCACCCATCCACAGAAGATTATAAGCACAACGATGTGATGGCAACGTCTATCTGCACAGCTTTATTTAAAAAGAAACAGCGGGCCAGGCGCGGTGGCGCACGCCTGTAGTCCTAGCTACTCAGGAGGCTGAGGCTGGAGGATCGTTTGAGTCCAGGAGTTCTGGGCTGTAGTGCGCTATGCCGATCAGGTGTCTGCACTAAGTTCAGCATCAATATGGTGACCTCCCGGGAGCGGGGGTCCACCAGGTTGCCTAAGGAGGGGTGAACCGGCCCGGGTCGGAAACGGAGCAGGTCAAAGCTCCTGTGCTGATCAGTAGTGGGATCGCGCCTGTGAATAGCCACTGCACTCCAGCCTGGGCAACATAGCGAGACCCTGTCTCTTTTGAACTTCTCAGAAACGAATTTTAAAACCTAAATAGGGCCTGCCGAGTGGCGCGATGGTTAAGAACTTGCTTGGGATGCCAGAGGGCCCCGGTTCGGATCCCACATATGAGGGCCAGTGACACTGCCCTCTACAGCTAAGATGCTGAACAACAGCTCAACCTGGAGCTGGGCTGCCATGAGTCCCCGGCGACGGCGTAGGCTGCAGTCCCTGTGGCAGTGGGTTGCCATGGGCTACCGTGTGTAGCCAGCAGCCAGCGTGAGCGGCCAGCAGCCGCAGTGAGCAGCCGTCCAGAAGCCGGCAACTGATCTGCCTCAGCCAGAGAAGAGCGCAATGATGGTGCCAACTTGGGCCAGTGAAGCAACATCCTCCACAACTAGACTGAAGAACAAGACGACAGCAACTTGTCTGTTCCCCTTCCCCCAATTCCCCAGCACTGTTCCCATTCCCCCAATTCCCCCAATAAAAAAAATCTTTAAAAAAAAAAACCTAAATAAATCACCTTGAAAAAAAAATTAAAAATAAATAAATAAATAATAAAAAGAAATAGCGGTAAGGTAGAAATGCAGATGTTTTCTTTATTGTAAAGACAGCAGTTACAAAAGAGAATAAATATGATGTCAGGGATTATTTTTAAAAACACAACCCTGGTATGTGAGCAACCCCATGAACCCACAACACATAAACATTGTGCTGGGGGTAAGAACAGCTTCACCTCCTTGGGGCAGATGTTGGAATTGACTGCAGGATGAGGATGGTCATGAGTTTTGGGATTTTGAAAGGCTCTAGATTTGTCGCTTGGGAATGTCAGGCGTCTACTGTAATGTAACTTGCGTAGAGTCAGCGTTAACAGGAATTCTTCTACTCAACGTTACCTTGAATTACTCTTTCATTATTACAGTTAAGTAGCACGGTACTTAAGAGTAGGGAAAAAGGCTAAAAGGGAGAGGCCCGAATGGAGGAAAGGAAAGGTGCCGAGTGGATCTAGCGGGGATGCTAGAGGGCATGGGAAAGGCGATGAAAAGAACAGAACGTCTCATCTCTTCATTGTTCGGTCATCTCAGAGGCATGTCACGCCCTCTGTTGGAGAGGGGGCTGGCAGTGGTCAGCCTGGCCCGCCTTAAACCTTACCAGCATCAAAGGACAGAGGAAGGTGCAAAAGCAACTGGCAGAATCAGGCTAAGGATGACAACAGGGTAACTGCATGGGAAACAAAGGGTAGGGGAACACGACGGGGATCCGTGCAGAGAATTACCCAAGAAAATGGGCAATGTTAACATCACGGCCCCCCACGGACTATCTCCACTGAGGATCACCAAAGAAAGAAGTATCTCAACAAATTAATTCCCACTCTTTGATGTGGAAGGGTACAGGGACAAGAAAAAGGTACAGGTTGCCAAGTAAAGGCACGTTGTGGCTACAGAGAAGGGCAGAAGAAGGTGGGCAGGAGAGAGGCAAGGGGGGGCAGCTGGCCTTTCCCAGGACGCTCTAGGAGGGGCCCCCACCCAGGGATGAGAGGCGTCCCCTGCCACCCCTCTGAGGATAAGGAGTTTGCATTGGACAGTGGGTGTGGAGGCTGGTTGGGGTGAGGGGTCAGAAGGGGTGAGGATGCCCGGCCAGCTCTCCCTGGGGCATCTGTGAGGCACAGCTGTGGATATAGGTCAAGGTCAACCAACTATGTGCTGAAAGCTGCCTTGAGCTCCCGGAAGGCTGCCCTGCGGAGCCTCCTCTTCTCCTCCTCCCGCTTCCGCTCCTCCTGCTCAGCTCTCAGCTCGGCTTCAAACTTACTGGCAGCGGCCAAGGCTTGGACCTGCAGGAGAAACAGCAGAACAGACCGACAGAGTGAGAGAGGGCAAGAGGAGCTTGGAGATGGAGCACCCACCAAACAGAGCTCGGGTGTCTCTCGCCGTGTGACTTGGGAACCCACCAGCAAATACTCCTTCCCGGTGGTCTTCCTAAGTTTGCCTTCTAGTCTCAAGGATGCCATCACTTTGCTGCCATGTTACACAGGTTCCTATCTGCTGGGCCCTTCACTTCTTTTTCCCCGGGTACTGTTTAACATGCCCACCTATCACCTACTTCAACTTGTTATCTTTGATTTCACAATATTGTTCAGTTCAGGAAACCCAAATAACCCCCCTTCTGGGATTTTGATCGGGACTGCATCAATCTGCCTATGGCAAAGGAATTTCTTTACAATGTAAGGGTTCCCTGAATGCATCAGTTTTTATTCAATATGGTTTGTATGTTACCCACCAAATTTTTTGTTTTCTCTAAATAGATCATTCTAAACATACTTTCGAATACAAAATGTTTTTGTTAGTATTACGAATGGGAGTTGGTATCATTTTTAATAATACCGTATCAGATAAATTCATCTTAAAATCCTCTATTCTCAAACTGATTTTTTTTTCTCTCCATGTCTCATCAATTTGGTAAAATTTGCAAACACAGTAGGCATGTTGTTTCAATTTACACCTCCACCATCATGGAATGCAGGTAGTCACTTCCCCACAGTCTTGCCAACGCTTATAATTAACCTTTTTCCTGTTTGCCAATCTGATGGGCAAAAAAAATTGGCACCTTCTTTTATTTCCTCTTTGGTGAATTACCCACTTGTATCCTTTGCCCATTTTCCTATTCAGCTGTTTTTTCCTTTAATGTGCAAAATTTTACATAATTTATGTATTGATTCCTTGTGATATATTTTTCAGTAATTTTCTCCCAGTTTTTTGTTTGTCTTTTAACTTCAAGGTATCTTAGGTCATACAAATATTTTAAATTTTGATGTAGTCAATTTTTTCAGCCATTTCCTTTTTTGGTTTTTGTATTTTATGTCATGTTTAAAAAGGTCTTCTATACCCCCAAGGTTCTAAATCCATTTTCCGGTATTATCTTCTAATACTTTTATGGTTTTATTTTTATACTCAGCTCTGAAGTCACCTGCAATTTATTTCAGTGAGGGAATATAATGAAGGTACTTTACTTCATTTTCCTAAGCAAATAGCCAATTGTCTTAATACCTGTTGTTAAAAAGCCAATTATTTGCCCACCAATTT